TTCTTTGACCTGTCTTGCCTGGAGGGAATGTCACAATCACCGGTCAGTAACAATGTTATTCTTGCTTCATCAAATGTAGGAGTTGGTTGCCAGTGATTGATTATATTTGTTGCATTTGCTGCCCAACATTTTTGACACTGAAATGGTATACTTGGTATTCTAAAAATTAATTGGGGATAATTATGGAAGAAAAATTTTGAATTAATAAGCACTTAAAAAAACTAAAATTTTGGACTCATTCAGTAAGCATTTATTTTTAAAATAAGCACATATTCCAGACTTATTTCCCAAACCTCAATAAGTGCTTAATGGTGTAGTCCCATAAGTATTTAAAAATGGCAAGTTTCTTAAACTATCCTTATAGTTTAGCTAATTGACTAACTCTACCCTAACTATTTGGATATTGTCTTAAAGTACCCCTAAGTTTTCGAACAATTGACATCATCACTAAGTATTAACAGATAAAATATAAAATGCCATATTTGCTCTCCACTATTCTTCAAAATTTCAAAACAAAACCCAAAATGAAAATTTTCAAGAACTGTTAACACTATTCTTTTGACAGATCTTGCAAGCTCTTCAGCTAAATTCCATCTTTCTATAGTTCATTGTTTCAAATCTCGCAAATCTTATGCATCTCTCTCTCACAAAGATTTAGGCACCGTTCGCTTTTCGGTAAGTTACTTACCCAGGTAAATGCAATTACCTAGGTAATCTTTTCCTAGGAAACACTTACTCAGGTAAGTGCATTTACCCATGTTCTTTTATTTCTCATGCAAATAAGGCAATGCCCATTTTGGCCATAAAAATTCATTATTAAAAGGATCATTTTTGTCCCATTCAAGTATTTGGCAACTTTCCCCCTATGTGGGAAAGTTATTTACCCACCTAGGAGATGGGTATCACTTACCCGGGTAAGTGATACCCAAGAAAATAAACTTTCCTTGATCCCCACATAAATTTGAAAAAAGAACATGGAATTCTTGGTCAATGGGAACCAAAATCCCATTGACCAACTTTCCACCCTCATAATCCAAAAAAAGAACAGAGATTCTTGGAGGTTTGATGGGAACACTGCAGTCTGTGAATCGTCCTTCAATTTTCAAGTTTTGGATCTCCTTTTTCCTCCTAAAATGGAATTTCGAAGAGTTATTTCATTTGACTAAGTCTAGAAGTTCTTACAGAGAACTAAAACTTAAGTTTTCCCTCAAAAGCAAGAGATTGTTTGGTTCTTATCTAAAAAATATTTACTTTACTTTAATGGTTTTCACGACCAATGCTTCACTCATTGTTTTCAATAGAATTAATTACTATTAACTTCGATTTCAAGAGTTGGATTGATTATCTATTATTTTAACAATCAATTGATAGATGAGTTATTCCATAAATTACTCACCTAAAGTTACTAGTCTTATATACAAAATTCAGCAATTGAGCACAAAATTTGCAGTTTTTTTTTTTCTAAATTTTTATCATTTTAGTAGAAAAATTGGTTAATTTCTTGATGCATATGGGTACCTTAGTCAGAGAGGAATCCTGTTTGCTGACAAACAACTGTTTTCCAGTTTTCCGACTTACAATGAGCTTCTCCTTTAATGCATTTAGTTATTTTTGTTTATTGATTTTTTCTTCGCGGTATTCATCAAAGGGTTACCTTACTGCCTTCCTTCTCATAATCCCATATTTTATTTTTTGGTTTTACTAGTAATTAAGCACATGCGTTGCATGTGAGAAAATTTTCTTCATATTAATTACTTGAATTTTAGATATATCATAGTTAAGATGGAATTTGAAAAATAAAAAAAAGTAACAATATGATTAAAAATAAACTTAAATATTTATTATTCAATTATGAAATTATGCGTTTTTTTTGAAAAGTTTAATCATTGACCCACCATCTAGATAAGAAATAACATTGATTTTGGATTAGTTTTAAATTAGGGGAAATTATAGTCGAAGCCGGCTGTACATTTAAAATTTGGTTACAAGTTGATCCATAAACCAACAAAACTCTAACAAACGGCTTTACATTTCAAGTTTTTAAAGCCCTCGCCATGTCATCGAAGGGTTATGTGGCTATTGCCAACATGAGACTCTTAATCCATATTGGACATAATAAAAAGCTTATACTGAAATTCCCCTTTAATGTTGGGTGATTGGAAAATAAAAAAAGAGTTTTTAGTCTCTATCTCTCAATCTCCCTCACACTCTTTCACTCATAATCATCTTTATCTGCTCAACGACTACGTGATTTGAAAATAAATAAAAATGGATTTTGGTTTCTGTATTTATGTTATCTATATCAATTTATCTCATTCTCTCTCTCTACCTATCGTTCTCCCTCAATCTCTCTCATTCTCTTTCTCGGTCGATCTTTCCTTCTCCCTTAGTTTCTATTGTTCTCCCTTAGTTTTTCTCCCTCTCCCTCTCCCTCTCCCTCTCTCATTTTTTTATTTTTTTCTTACACACTTATATGGTATTAATCATATTGTATAAAAGAACATGAGACCAACTTGGTATGGTTCAAAAGTTATTACACCAATTTGATAAATTTCATAAGAAACTCTTGGCTATGAAATTTACACCAATTGGAGAACGATAGAGATTGAGGGAGAAGGGGATTTTGATCGAGAGGGAGATTGAGGGAGAACAATAGAGAGAGAGGTTTTGATTTGGCTACAGACCGAAGCAGAGAGAGTGGGAGAGACAGAGGAAGCGGGAGATCGAGAGACGACTGCGAGAGTGAGAGAGAAGGGAGGGAGATTGAGAAACAGAGGGAGTGGGAGAGAAACTGAAAACCTATTTTCGATATAGGTTTTCTGTTGTGTCCAACATGGAATAAGAGTCCTGTGTTGGCAACAACCACATAAGACTCTGATGACATGGTGGGGGTTTTTATAATTTGAAATGTAGAGCCGGATTTCAGAGTTTGGTTGATTTCTATACTAACTTGCAACCTATTTTTAAATGTACAACTGATTTTAACTATAATTTTCCCTTTAAATTATTATTTCATTTACATTATATAAAATATTTTTTTACTTATCACACTTAATTTTCGTTTGTCTATAATATCATTTTACTTAAATCACTAACCCACCATCTAAAAATAAAATTTGTTTGATTTTTAGGTTGACATTAAATTTTGTATTACATTTCCATCATTGATAAAATTATTTCTTATGTATAAAACTTATTTTTGTTCAATATAATGAATGTAAAATATTAGAGATGTATCCAATATTTTATTTTTTATAAATATATAACATTAGATATGTACCCAAAATTTTTTCTTATCTTTTTTTTATTTTTTATTTTTGTGATTCTTTGTATTTTCTATTATTAAAAATTTTATTATTTTACTATGCCATCATTTAATTTCTAGGTAGATTTTGAAATTGGCTTTCCATTTTCATCATTAATAAAAACATTTCTTACATTTCATAGTTATTTATTTTAATTTTTATTATTTAATTATGATATTATTTATTAATCCATTTGACCCCAAATGGTCAAATTGCTTGCCCACCGCCGGGAGGGAAGAAAATGGTATTGTTTTTAAATTAAATTTTAAAATATTTATTTTTATACTATTAAAATTAATATTGTGGATTTAATTACAAGATTTTAATGATGAGAAAAATATATTTTAAATATAGGATTTAATGAGAGAGAATAGGAAAATATTTTTATTTCCAATTGGTTTTAAATTTTACATTCCATTTTCATCCTTAATAAAAATATTTCTTATTTAACATTCTTATTATTGTTTAACATGTATGTTAAAAATGTTTCCATTTTTTTTAATTTATATATATTTTTTTCATTTTATCTATTTTTTAATTTTATTATTTAATCATGGCAGCATGGATTAACCCATCTGACCCAAAATGATTTAATTTCTTACCACCACTTAGATGAAAACATTATTTTTTCTAAGTAGATTTTAAAGGTATAAGCTTTTATGTTATTGGAATTATTAATTTATTAAGTATGGATTTAATTAATAGAACTTAATGATGAGAAGAAATAAAAATGACTTAAATATATGATTCAATGAACATGAATACATGTTAATAACTTAAATGTTGGATTTAATGAGAAAGAATTGAATGCATTGAATATCTTTAAATTACCTATTTTCAACTCATTTAATATCAAGAACCAATTACCCTATTTGCTCTCATTTTTTTATCATTAAATTTAAATATAGAGGGGTAAATATTATACTTAAAAAATTCCAGAAATATTATTGAGGCCATTCGTACTTTTTAAATTAGTATAGATTTATTCCACAAATCCCATTTAGACATTTACTCAAATGCTCTCCCCCTTTCTATCTCTCTAGGCTGTATTTGGTTGCAGTGCAATTTTATTTATACTAATACAAATGCATAAGAGTGCAAATGAAAAAAAATGTAAATTCTTGTTTAATTTTATTTTGGGTTTTACTTTTTTACTGTTTCATGTCTTAATTTACTTCATTTCTATTGCAATCAAAACAAACTAAACTTAACTTTAAAACAAAAATAATTCAGAATTTATACTCAAATCATTTACACTGTCATAATTTTGCATCATTGTAAATTCATTTGCATTGCCGATCTCTCTCTATTTTTAGGCCAACCATAGTGCTTTTTCACTTCAATGCCGATCTCTCTCTATTTTTTCCCAATGATGATATAACATTAAACATCAGATTTCAGCTTCATCATTGATAATCATTTAAAGCCCTTTATCCCTCATGTTAAAAAAAATAATTTATAAATTTTTAGAAAATATTATCAATTACGTGATGTCATATCATATGTGACGAAAAGTTAAATAATAAGGAAGGTTTCAAAACAATTGTTAGAAAACTTGAGATACTTTAAGATATTATATAAATAATAAAAATGAAATTAATCAATTAACTAAACCAAGGGTAATTTAAGAAATTTGCCCTATTTTTTAACACTCGCAAACTTAGCGTAAAATAAGAATCGGTAACAACTCTGGCACAAAAACGTATATGGCTCGTGCCTCACTTTTCTTATTTCTTTCGACCCTCAAGGCCTCGAGGCCCTCGACTCTCTCTCCCCCCTCCCTCTTTCTACGTATCAGCATTCTTCAGCACCAGCAGGTAAGATCGATCACCTCTCTCTCTCATTCTTTTTTTTCTTCTTCCTCTTCCTCCTCCTCCTCCTCCTCGTTATCTTTTTCTTCTTCACTTTTAAAAGTCAATTCATTTGTGTTTATTTGCCATTTTAGGGCATTAATCGGTGCAGGGAGACAAACACAGTTGAGGTACAGCCGACCTCATTTGGTTTGTTAGATTTTATTCTGTTCCTTTAAACTCTGTTTAGGGTTTTGTTTTGCCCTGTTGATTGTCAAGCAAACTTGCTCCGTTCAAAATCATTTGGAGCTTTGACTTGGTCACAAGCCCTGTTTTCTTGAAATCTAATATTAACTGTTTTGTTGCAAGAATGTTGATTTGAAGTTTAAAACTAAGTTAGAACTGTTTTGTTGCAATCGGTGCAGGAAGCAACCTAACAAAATATGTATTGTAAACGTAAATATTTATATACTTGGTGGGCTCACTTCTGATGAATATCCCATCATATCGACCAGGGCTGCATTGACACAGTCAAATAACAGTCTCTGGTTTGTCTTCTCTATCTGTAATTCTGGTTGATCTCAATGGTTAGGCAAATTCTAGTTGATCTGATCAGTCAGTAATGCCCAAATCATCTATAACCAAGGCTCTAGGAGCTGCCGTATTCGTGATGTAATTCAGACGACTCAGTTCAAAATGCAAAAACTGAAATTTCTATAGTTCTATGTTGAACAGAAGGCAGAAACAATGCTCCTACCAGAAAATGGTTAAACTACTAGAAACAATGAGGCTAGAATAAAACTGATGAACAAGGCCATGCAGGTTAAAGAGCAGCAGGCTGACAAACCATGCCTTCTTATTTATTCTCCTACCGTCAAGGCAAACCCAAATTTGTAGTCTTTCTTCCAATGGGCAATCTGCAAGCAAAATGGTAATTAACTGTTACATAGAAGCTACAAAACAAAGAATCAGAACCATGGCACAACGGGGAAACAAGAAAACAAGAAAGCCTTTGCATCTTGAAAGCTAATTTTCTTTTCTTTTTTAGAAAAAATTCTACCACAAAACACGTAAACCACTGAGTAGATAGAGTTGTCAATGGATCAAATCAAGATCCTGATCCAATCCAAACCTGACCAGATAAAGCAGTTTACAACTCTCAATATTTTGATTGATTTATATAAACAGATTGAATTCAGACCAACCTGTCCAATTGTGTCAAGATTCAAATCTAATAATTTACTATGCGTTATATTTTACATACATCTATTAGTAACATAACTTCTTAACTAGAAGGTTGTAATGCCAGTCTTCTAGATAGTTGTAGTAATGAGTATATGAACAAAGTCCAGAGATCAAACTAGTCATATTTGAATTTGATCAGATTAATAATTAGTTTGAATTCGGATTTAGTTGTATCAAACTTGAATCCAACACATTGTCATTACCACCCCTAGTCATTTTGTCACCCCAGATAAAGTATACCCTAAAAGGAATTATCCCAACTAAATAAGCATGACCATTTGACCTATAGACATTTATCTGACAGTTCCACCATCCAATTATCCAACCATCTAATATAGTGATTTTTTTTTTTTTAATAAGGTAAGGTATTACATAGTGAAATAGATGTATGGCTATGCTCATCTAATTAAGTGGATTTTTTTTTTTTTTTTGAGAAGGGATAGCTCCTACAATTTCTGACAGGCACAACTACATATGTTCTACATTTACAGTAAGAAGCAGACAAAGGGATGTCATGGAGTTCTATGCTTATTGCTGTCTTGATATGTGGAGATGTTTTATTGGTATGGATGTGTCTCTGGGGGCTTCTTTTACTTTCACTTGTCTCGGTGATATCTTATCACCTGGGATTATATCTTTCTTTAATTTTTTTGAAGATAAATAAAAAATAAACTTTATTAGAGAAAAAGGAAAAGGAGATTACAGCAGGGTGATAAGGAAATCACCCAGCAAGAACAGACCCAAAATATGACAGGCCCGGCCTAACAAAAGCCCCTAAAAACAGAGAATTAACCCTACAGACATACCGACACACCTTAAGAAACAAACCCATATCCAATAAGAAATGTCACAACAAAAATCACAGAGATCCCTACCACCAACCCCTAAAACAACTAAAACAAAACTATAATAATAATAACACATTTAAAGCAAATATGCTAGAAAATATGAAATCAATACATTAATTGTAAAAGATCAATATAATCAGATGTTGTCTTTAATGTGAAAAAAATGTGGGCAAATTAAAGAACCAGCAGTACAATAGAGGGATGCCAATTGAGCTGAAACAAAGGGTTTTTGGAGAAGTTTGGGGAAGGTAAGGAATCAGTTTCACTTATTGAGGAAACTGAGTTGATAGTGTATTAGAGGAAGGTTGTCCGGATTCCTTTTTGAGGAAACTGGATTAACATAGTGTATTAGAGGAATAGTTAGTACTGAGTGATGCTTTTATGAAGGGGATAAAAAATAATTGAAGTGGGAACATTGGGAGAGAGATGGAGATAGGCGGTTGATAAGAAAGAGGATATTGAGCAAAAGATTTTAGGAAGTAGAGACAGATGTGGATGAAAGAAGTTTTAAGTAGCATGGTTCCAGTTGTATCTTACTTCTATATATGCCATATTGTGATAATCCAGTTTCCCTTTTAGAAGAGAAAAAGGAGACCAAATTGTCTGTGGATCAGTTGGACATGGGAGCACAAGATCTTACCCATTTGCATGAAAAGGAATGCACTGTAACTGCACATAGGTAAAGACTGGTAAACATCTGGTGTCATGTGCAATTTATACTTCATTGAAACAGGGGGCAATGGAGTGAGCGTACTACCAGGTGTGTAAAACTGCTCCAAAATACTATCCCATTCTATTGTAGTGCATGGAAGATCCAACTTATCAAGGTTAATCCCTTCTGCAGCAAGGCAGGAATCATCTTGTTCATATATCGTCTTTCAAAAAAAATCTTGTTCATATATCTACATATTTTTGAGATTATTTAATATTTAGAGGAAAGCAATGGATGTTATTTTAATTTCGTGTAAATATTACAGTCTTAGCAAATCTCTACTCACCAGTTTATTATGCATGTTAACAAACTGACAGACTAAAATGACAAAGTGAATTAGTATATGTACTTGAAGCAAAACATCTTTGGGACCAAAACTGACACCAGTATCCATGTCTTCCATCCTCACAGCTGACATGAGCTTGAAACAATTAGTTGGAAAATCTCCAGCTTCTTATCATCTCCTATTTTATAGCATCCAGAATACCTTAATCCCTGCCACTGACATCCAGCAGGCAGCAGTAACCCACCATCCAGATCCTTTCACAATGGTGTCATAACCATCTTCATCACCAAAAAATTCTACTGCACTTGTTCTTATTTTTAAGTAACTCAAGTATATTATAGAAGCGAAACCTTAGAGGTTAAAGAGAAGGGTGCAGGATTTTTGTTTTTTATCAGCAACACAAAATCAATTCATTAGATTAAAAAAGCATATACAACAAGAAGTTGTGAGCAGAAAACAAGAAGCCCAAAAGAAATTATCCCACTAATTACAAAACAGCCCAGAACATAGATTGTCTTTGAATTCCTTGTTTAGCTAGACTATCAGCCATGCTGTTAGCGGATCTCCTAATCTGCCTTATTTGAATCAACATGTCTTTAGATATCTGCTTGAAGCGCCTGATGGCCTGGACACATTCCTTAGCTTCCATATTACTCCTTCCCCCTTCTTCAGCCAATTCACAACAATTTTTGAATCCCCTTCAATAATCAGCATGTGAATCCCCATTTCTTGAAGGGTGCAGAATTTCAGTGTTGATTCACTTTGTTTCATTGACAAAAGTTGCTGCCAGCATCTGTGTAATTCCAGAGACCTTGCTTCTTTTCAATGGGTTGTATATTAGAAGACTGTAAGCTAGCAGCTGCCTTGTTTTTTATGAAGAAACCAAATTATTAAAACATCATGATTGGATTGGTGGAAGAAATGTATGTAGTTTTGGAGCATTTCTGTAGGACACTGGAGACAAAAAGGCTTGAGAAACCACTGCCTAAATTATGTCTCCCATTTAATGATTCCAATTGGACAAACTCATGGATATCCATCTTAATTAAGTAAAGAGGAAACCAACTAGCTAGAAGCTAACCCATTTGGAAAATTCGGTTGCATTAAAGTAGATAGAATCTATGAATAAAAAAGGGTAGATAGAATCTCTAGACAATTAGCAAAACATGGAATGAATTGGTTTGTTTTCTCTAAAATAAACATTAGACTCTTTTATCCCATGGTTTGGCTTAATTAGTTGTTGAAGTTCAGTGTTGATAACTTGACATGGTCAGAAAAGATCACTTGGGCTAGCTTGAGGCCAGTTGTTTTGGATGGTTATCTAATTTCAGTATAACATTGCAACATTACGCCATCCGTGCTTGGTAAATTGGGCACAACCTCATTTCTAATCTCTTGATGACTCCAAAAAACCAACCTAATGAGACCAAATCTGTAGCTAGCTTCATATATATTGCAGACATCTTAGTTGGATTTCTGATGGTGCAGAGAAAAAAATGTTGAGTTTACTAAAAATTCAAACTTTGTGCCAAAAATCATGGAAATTGTTGCAATTAGATTTAAATCATATATAAATACATTTCTGTCTGATTGACTCCTGACCCTTTGCATCAATTATGAATTCATTCAGGTTCATGGGTGCAGGCTATGCAGTACTGAAACTCAAATATGAGATTTGTTGGCTAATAATCATTCAGATAGTTCAGAAATCCTTTTTGCAGAATATCTTTTGTTGATTATTGCCTTCTATTTGTGTCCACAAGAATTGTACAACTTAACATCCACTTGGATTGAATTTTGAACTTGTTAGACGGTTTGGATTGATAAGAAACAATGAAGTCATATAGATTTAAGGAGTATAACTATGAACAAGTCCCCGAGTATAAACTATGAACAAGTCCATATAGAAGGTGTTCATGTAGAAAGTGCTATGAACAATGTTATTATTTTGATTGATGCAGGGCCCACATGATTTCATGATATCTATTTGCCATTGAGTGCTGTATGCATACCTATATTATTATTTTGATTAATTAAAAAAGAATGAGAATGAAATTTGTAACCAAACAGGTTAAACTTTACTCTCATTCTTGCTACAAAAAGAATTCATTTTTTAGGAAAAAAGCATTTGGTTTGTAGCAATATTTTCTCATTCTTCCCATTTTTATCCATCCTTTTCCATCTTAGAATTTCATCTTGGGTAAGAATGAGAAAGAATGGGAGTTTAACTAAACATGGCCTAAAATTTCACATGTTGCGTGCACAACTGGGTATAAGCTGACACTCTTTTCTGTGATTTCTGTGATCAATGGGATGAAATTGTTTGGGTGAATGGGTCTGCTGGTCACGTTCTTGATTGTAAAGCATTCGCTTTTAGTCTCTGATGTCTATACAGTCTTCCATCACTCCCCTTTCCCTATCTTTTTATTAATACAGATATTACACTTTGCCTGTCAAAAAAATCTAAATATTCTATAGTCATTAAGATTGTAGGTGTGTGCCCTTTTACCTGTTGCATCCTTTTCTTGTGTGTAATGAAATACTTTTGATTACTTGTCAATAAAAGGAAGTTGATGGATGTGAAGAAACGGATTTGGTGATGGAAGATTTGGATCGAGCTGATGAACAGACATTTAGGGTTAATTTCAGTGGGGGTGGAGTGGTAAAGCTGCGAGAGAGAGTGAAGGAAAAGCTGAAAGAGTTCATGGGGGACTACACCGATGACACTCTCGTGGTATGATTCTATCGCTTTCACTCTCTCTCTTGATTTGCACAAATATATATTCTCTCTTTGCAAATTGGAAATTTGTGTACTTGGTAGAATCGTCGATTTCCACTTACTGTAGTATTAGTTCATGACAGAAGAGACACAAGGGTATTCTGTTTTATTAGTCTAAACCTCAACCAATAAATTTCGTCTCACTCTCTGTCCAAGCTGGAGAAACACAAACTGAACAATCAATCAATCAATCAATCAATCTGTGTGTGTGTGTTGTGTGGTGGTTTTTTTTTTGGGGGGGGGAGGGCGGTTTGATGCTATCGTATCTTATGGTGCAATCAAACTATGTATTAGTCGTGCACACCTTTAGAAACTTCATGCACTTTAGTTCACACCTGTCATGTTCGAGAAGTTTAAGTTCACATTTCAAAACTCTTATTGATATCTGCATTTTAAATGCTTTTATTTGACAATTGATATGCACTACATATAACTTGGTACAAATGGTGCAGGAATATGCACAAGTAATAGGTTATTACTTATGATTTTCTTCAGGCACACAACTTATTAAAAAAAATCCATTTTGGCAATGATTTTATTTGATTTTTTGTTATGTCTAGTTTACCTTGGATTTGTCTTTCCTCATTACAACCAAACTCTTAGCCTGTTGTTTGATTGAAGTAGAGATGGAAATGTGGAGCAGAAAAGGATTTCTCCTTTCTGCTATTTTCCAGATTCGTTTTCTGGATAAAAATAGGCCTGAGTAGAATCCTGAAACTAGCCAGCTCTTTTTGCTACAATTTCCTCATTTTTAGCAGACACTTTTCCCTGCGGGCTTTATTCAATATTTCCATTCCCTCAAATACGAACACTGCTTGAACTTGGTGTAAAGCATTCCTACTGTGGATTTGTGAAAATAGAACCTGTCAGAAAGGTGTTGATATTGTCGACTTATGGTCAACCTCTCTACAGGGTAGTCAAGCTCGTTCAATGTAATCATGGTGTATGGACTTGGAAACATCATCTACTAGCATAAAATGCTGGTTGGGTTAGTATAAATCTAAGCTAATAACGAAAGGCATGGTGCCACCATTCCTGGTAAAAAGTTATATTTGAAAGAGCTTCTGCTGGAAAATTGTATATGTTTCATGTTAGGATATGCTTATCCAAGGTTATGCCTAGAGCAGTTCAGTTTCTCAGGCATATAGTCAATTCACACATGCACCTATAAGTCATACCCATTTAATTTTAACCTCTACTAGACCACTGGCCTGACTGGCCTGTTTTACTCAATAATTAATAGTAGTTACATGAATATGCTATTGTAACTTCTTATAACATAGAAATGTATTTTGTTGCTAAAAAGTAATTAACAGGACGTACACACTTTATTGCTTTATTTCAATTTCATGCTCTCATTTTGATTCCTCTGCTATACACACATTTTTATAGAACATTGCTATGATAACATTCTTTTGTGCAGAATATTAAATTCCTATTTCTGTCTAGTGTGAGTTTTGTGCTTTCATCTTTAAAGAAGAGGTTGCATCTCGTGCCTCTTCATAGGCTGTTTGTATACTCACTGTTTCACTATTAATATCAATTTCTTTCATTTATAAAAAAAAAAGGTTGTTCTTCTAATGACTACCTTTCATGTCACTTGCAGATCATCATTTCAATGTAAAGGTAGATGGAGAAGTTAGATAACGTTTATATCTCGATGTTTTAAATTTGAGTTAATATTTTCATAAAGTCTGGCTTGTTGTTTGTTGCTAAAAGGGGGCCAATCTTTTTTTGCTCTTTATCTAAGTATTTTATAGTCTTTATGGATGCATTTCATCAGATTATTCGGGAAGCCATGAGTGCCTCCTAGTCCGAAGTCTTTTCTCTTCTTGGCCGGAAACTGGTTTCAGCAAAAAAGATGCCTTTCTGTGGTGCTCTTCTCCCTTAGCAATCTGTTTGGTCTTGTTAGGAGAGAGGAATCACTGCATCTCCAAAGGCAAGTCCTCCTCCCATTCCGAAGGTAATCTGTTTGGGCTTGCATCAAGGACTTCTCCGGCTTCTCATTCTGAGATTTCTGTGATCAGTGGGATCAAATTGTTTTGGGTGAATGGGTCTGCTGGTCACGTTTCTTGATTGTAAATCCTTCACTTTTAGTTTCGGATGTCTATATGGTCTTCCTTCACTCCCCTTTCACCTTGAAGGGGCTAGCTTTGTATATATTTATTGGGAGTTTTCCCTATCTTTTATTAATACAGATATTACACTTTGCCTGTCAAAAAAATCTAAATATTCAATAGTCATTGAGATTGTAGGCGTATGGCCTTTTACCTGTTTTTCTTGTGTAATGAAATACTTATAATTACTTGTCAATAAAAGGAAAGTGTATTGTCCAATTGGTTTGTTGATGGCTGTGGAGAATGCAGGAAGTTGACTTTATTGAATGCTTTAGAGTAGATCCTTCTTTTTTGGGTGGTGGTCTTGAATTTGTGGTCAACATTCTTGCCCTTAATGRTCCTTCAATTGAAAAGTTGAAGGTGCTTAAAGCACACTCTATTATTTGAAAGCTGTGTTGAGTTTGGACATCAATGTTGGCAAGTATTGTGTATTTGTGGTTGGAATTGGGCCAGATGACAGCATGGCTTCTCATCTTACAATTGTTCTGATTTAGTCATGGTTAATTTTCTACAAATTCACCTKGGATTTCYTTTGTATGTCAAGGTTGTGTAAACTTTTCAAAGTATTCTTTTTGGCTTTCCTCAGGCCTCACCATCTATTTCTTTGTATATATAGATTTCCTGGTGGAAAAAATAAACCAACTTATGATAGTTCTTGGGAAGAGATGATGCTCAGAAAGGAACTTGGGAATTAGAACAATACAATGCAAGCTCACTGCAACTCTATGTACAAAAGATGACTCAATCTATTTTGACAAATGCAATGTTTATGGGAATTAGAAGTAAAATGACTTGAAATGTACAAAGATTGGCTGGAGCACATTATAACTAACCAATATTAGGGATGTTGAAATTCATAGATCAAGGAAACCGATTCTTTCTTCTTGGAGAGTGGCTGTGGTATATCATAGTGTGCTAACATTTTTAACTCGATTGTTGTGACCAAAAAATGTGAAGTGGATACTAGAGAAGATTTTTGCATTTATCCAGGAGGTTGAAATGCATATTATGGAGGAACATGACGGATTGTAAAGCTCAAATTGATATAGTGATCTTGAGTTGTATGTGAGTTAGGGTGGGGTGGTTTCACCGAAGCCCGCCCCAGGTTAAGCCCCTATCTGAACTTTGAGGCGTAGGTTGTCTTTGGCAAACTGTTAACCTGGCACCTATATTTCTGATTTGAACCTGAATGGGTTAGAGTTGGATTGCCAAAATCTGATAACTCAGTAATTTTGGCGGTCCTTAATATGTAAGATAAGTAATAACTATGTAAATAGAATTACAGTCTTCATTCCTTATTTTTTTGGGTAAAAATTACTGTCTTAATTCTTGTTCATCATTTCAGCAGTTTAACTTGTTGGTCATCAGATTGCCCCTTTTACATTCAGTTAAAAGTGTTGAGTTTGCCTTAGGATGATTATATTGTAGAATTTGGAAAGTGCTTGCAAAAGTGTTGCCATGTGTCTGGAGTTGCAAGATTAAGTTGAGAATAGGGATGCAAATTGGTAACCCAATTTGAAGAATTTTCACTGCATTAGGCCCAGGACCTTGTGCTAAGCCCCTAACCGCTACAAAATGCTCAACCCAGGCCTGCCAAGTTGCACTTGTAGTTGGGAGTTTATTAAGAAAAATGCTTTGACATTCGTGATGGAAATTTATGTGACTTCACTTCCATATTTGCATATGCAGGAATATGTCATTGTTTTACTCAGAAATGGCAGGCATAAAGGAGAGGCGAGGAATGAGCTGAATGTATTTTTGGGGGATGATAGCGATTCTTTTGTATCCTGGTAGGTCAACTTTACCTTTAATCTAATTTGAGGTCATAGAAATCATTTACTTCAATGTGGTTGTTATCACCTGCAACTTAATATTTGCGCAGGCTCTGGGATCATCTCTCTTCAAACTTACATCTATATGTACAACCTGGAGAAACTTGTCAAGATGAAGTGACTAAGACAAAGCCTGTATTGGTTGAACAGACAGAAAGATATGATCCTAAGGATCTAGATTCTGAATCTGAAAGGGAGAACTTAACCAAGGAACCTAGAAGCCGACGGAATAGGGAATGGAAAGGACTAGTGAGAGATGTAGCTGAGCCCCCTCCTCTTCGAAGCTCAGAGATTGGTGATTTTCACTCAGGCAAGAAGACTCACGGAGGATCTGGTCGTAATAAACGATCACACTCTCCCAGACCTTCACACCCAAGAAAACGGAATCGACAAGATGATCGGCAGCCAACAAAGGTTAGTAGCTTTATTTTGCATATTTGCATGAAAATGTGATGCATACCAGATGTCTCATGAAGCTGAAAATCTTGTTTGCTCGTTCTGCTGGTATCTTAGAATCCATGGATATGTGCAAAAGGTTTTAATAGTAGGAATATGTCTTAAAACTGGCATTCTGGATAATTTTATGCCAAACTATTACCAATATTGTTTGGATGTACACGCTACTCACATCTGTCTTCTAATACAAATACATGCTTGCTTGTTTTGTGATAGTCCTGTGTCTTCTCCTTAAATAAAAACCAGTTCCACTGTCAGAAGCTATAGCAAGTTCTTGTCCTTTTGTATGAAGATAGCTTCTGGATGATCTTTGGGAGGAATTGAAGGCAAATTGTTCACATAGTTCACTACGTTACCTGTTCTCAGAAAAACTGAAGGTAATTATAGAAAGGAATTTGTTTCTGAGTGTGGAAGTCAATAGCAAAAAGGACCCAATATTGGTCCCAGCTATTCTTGGGTCTTGGGACGGTTTCACAGGATACAGGCCAAGCCTTTGGCATTTTTTTGCACAAGGTGGTTTCTCTCAGACTCCTGTCAGTTGTCAGCCCAAGGTTTTACCATTGCACCACACAGCAGGGCCTATCTATTATCTATATCTATATATTCTGAAAACCACTAGACATTTGATACTTCAGAACTGAAGGCCCTGTCTCTCTTCCTGTTAGAATTTCATATGTTTTGGATGACATGAGACCAGCACACCAGAAAAGAAGCATGTGGACTATTTTCAATAGATTCACGATTTTTTTTTTTCCCGTGCAGCAAGAATTCCATCCTTAATGTTGTTGGCTAATGGTAAAAGAACCGGGGAGACATTAGCAAAGTATGATATATTTTTTTCTTTCTTTAAACTTTGTGCAGGGAATTGGCCGAGAAAAAGCAGGGATGCTTTCTTGGACATCCTTGCACCTAAGTCCTACTGACACAGTATGTAAAAAATCCTGCCGACCAAGTTGCAGGTAGCCCTGCTAGGGCATTGAGATTGGGCATCTGGGGTTAATTTGTTGGTGATTAGGTTTTATTGGCTTCCTTCGTTTCTTTTTTCCCTTCTTCTTGGTCTTTTTCTGTATTGTGCCTTGGTCCTTGATATATCTCTTCTTATGTCTTTTATTTCTGTTATGTGAAACCAAATGCGTTCTTAGTATTTATTGTTCTGTTTGTTTCTAATCCTATAATATTTCATTTCTGAAAGCTATAATGTACTTCTATTAGAAGTACCAAAGAAGTATCTGACTTGTGGTTTTTTGTATTCAATGACATAGTTGTTCATTCTGACTTCTGATTTAACAATTTATATTTGTCACATATCCACTATCTTTGTGGTCTACAGACTTTTGAATTGGTAGAAGTGTCAATAATTTCTTTTCTGATCATGCATTAGAAATTGATTTTACTTCCATGTTCAAGCATCTTGTGATGTGGTTGGGGGACGGTATGATTGCCAGCTTGATAATTGCTTTTCTTTTTTTGGTTAAAAGTGACCATTCACTGCTATCTTTTATTATTGATCTTTCTGATCATTGTATTTGTGGCAGAGAGAGCTAAACTCCCATCCAACCATTGATGCCCCTCGCCGGTTGCTTCAATTTGCTGTGCGAGATGCAGTTGGGACTTTAAGGCCATCAAATGCAAGAACAGAGTCAGCATCAAAACGTCTTCTTTCTGTGGTTTCAACATCCACAGGAGATTCGTCCTTGGGTGATACATCACAGAGGATAAGATCGGTTGCAAGAGTACCAAGTACAATGAAAAGTGCAATTAAAGCAGCAGCAGAAGCTGCTGAAGATGTAACAAAGGTTAAATGTTCAGGAAATGTATTCAACCGACTGGGACGGGGTACGAATGTGTCAGGGGCAACAGTTCAAGCATCAGGGTATGAAATACCTACTTTGGAGAACAGAGAATATAGAGATCTTGACCAAGTTGGAGGAGTGGCTGACTCAGATTATATGCAAAGACATGATTATGGTGAACTGACAGGGAATATGGCAATGTTGGACAGGGGAGCTGTCTTGACATCTGATTCTGTATCTGATAATGATGGTTATGATGATGTTGTGGATCACAGGGTTATAAATGCTTCTCAGACTGATACATCTGTTGGAGACAAGGATGGAGATTCACTGATGGTGCAGTACAGAGTAGCTAAAAATACAGATGAAGCTGCGAGGAAAACACGAATGAAAGATCAGGATCCATCTTTGGCAGCAAACACTTCTCGTAAGATTGTGAAGATCTCGGTGAATGTAAATACATGGAAACCACCACACTATGAGGCTCCAGGGGAGGTTAGAGACACAGAGTATAGGAAAACAGCACATGACAGCGGGGTGGGTGAAGTTAAGCCTGGTATTCGGTTAATGAAAGAGAAGAACAATGTTGCAGCTAGTATTGAGAATGTAAGTAGCTACTCCTTGATTTGTGATTAAAATTGATTATCCTATGGGGCATTGCTCTTGTTCTTTTTATTCTTTGTACGGGTTTGCTGAACTGCACCTTCGACTCTGTTATGACTCAGGAATCACCTACTATGCAGGCTCCTCAGGAATCTCAAAAGACTGTGCCCCCTGCCACTTGTAAGTTACTATTCCCCTGCCAGAAGAAGTGGTGTAAAACTTGTGATTTATTTTTGGTATATTTGCTTTTCTCTTATTTATTCGAGATTATTATAGGGTTATTGGTTCTTTTGTATACCAAATCCCTGGCAACATGGCCTTCTCAATTTTGCTTTGGTCCTTACTTCCAGTTTATACGTCATTATCATCACTACCACAACCAAAGTCTTGTCACAACCATATCGGGTTGGCTACATTAGTTCTGTTCCGCCATTTCTTTTTGTTCAGTGCCTTTCCATTGTTAAATTATGAGTCCTTAAATATGTTCCTTTTTTTGTATGCTATTTCATTCTTATATCTTTCTTTGCCATTGTATTGGGTGGTTGAGTTTTTTCCTGCCCTTTTGCAGGTTCATATTCTACCAGTCATCCTTCGGAGGATGCTGATTCTAGGACCATCTTTGTCAGCAATGTAAGTATTTCAAATTGCCAATGCAGTGTGTGTTTGGTTGGTTTCAATCTTATCGTTGTCGGTTTCCGTAGGTTCATTTTGCTGCCACCAAGGATACCCTTTCTCGACATTTCAACAAGTGTGGTGAAGTTCTTAAGGTTATTATAGTGACTGATGCAGCAACAGGGCAACCAATAGGGTTAGTTGTCACAGTATCATTTTAAATTTGCTTCTTTGTTTCCGTCTGTCTGTAAGTGTATGTAAATGCCACTGAAAATGTTTGATAAACAGGTCGGCCTATGTGGAGTTCATGCGGAAGGAGGCAGCGGAGCTTGCACTGTCTCTAAATGGAACCTCTTTTATGTCACGCATTCTGAAGGTATAAATGAAGATTTTGGTTGTTTACTTGTTGCAAGGAATCGATTTACTGGAGCTCCTTGGAAAATGTTAATTTATTGAATTTTTTTGGGACATGCATGTGCAGTTTTAGTCCAGGATGAATTTCCTAAGAAATTTTGGTGGTAGCCCTTTCTGTTGCGGATGTTGAATCATCATCATCATCCGAGCTTTATCTGAACTCTATGGGGCCGGTTACATGAATCCTGTTTTGCCATTCAGTTCAGTTTAACGCCGTATCCATTATTAAATTATAAGTGCTTAAATCATTTCTTTCTACTTTGATCCATGTTGAATCAAATGATAGAAGTTATTTACTTAAGTTTCATTTTACGTTCTTGCAACGACAATTGTTTTTCACTCATTTCCTTGATTGTAAAATGGTTTAAAAAGTAAAATGTGAAAGGTTCTTGAATGTGGATAGTCAAAGACATAATAAAATTCTCAAACTAGCTGGTTGCATGTAGACACGATTGAAAAAAGATGATTAGGTACGTGCAGAAGTTCTACATGGGTGCATGCATGGATTTATTCTATCCACTTAATTAATGGATGTTCTGTGCATATATGTTTATAGCCGTTTTATATACTTGAAACATTCTTGTTACTGAAAAAACAAACCCCAATGTTTTTTGTTGTAGGTTGTGATGAGGACCTCTGCTCATCAAGAAGCTGCTCCCACGACTTGGCCCCGAATGGCACGAGCCTTACCATTTGCTGCTAGGCTTGCCAGGGTTCCATTTCCCAGAGGCATGCCAGGTGCATTCRGGGCCCGCCTCCCAATTAAAACAGGTGCTCGGAGCTTGCAGTGGAAGCGAGATGCTCCAGTGACTACAACTGGTGAGGGTGCTGTTAATGTTCAGAATGGAGTGACACCCTCCAGCAATGTACCTTCTCCAACTGGTCGGAATCTCACATATGTTCGAACAGAGCCTAAACCAAGTGGTAGTTCGGGTCCAGCTTAGTTCAACATTGTTCTGGGGCATCATGCAACCTTTTCTTGGCAAGCCAAATTGAGTCCCATTACCATTACCCAGCCCGGATTGATATAAACTTGGAAAGCAGCAGACTCACATCAGAGTTTTTCCCAGCCAGCCAAAATGAGTCCCATTACCATTACCATTACCCAACCTTTTCTTGTGGTGGAAGTGAATGAAGAAGGGCGGAGGCGATGTCTCTCTTTCAATTTTTTTTGTTTTTTTGGGGATCCAGGAAAAATAGAAGGATATCTTGATGGTTGTCATTTTGTTTATTTATTTTTTTCTATGTGAATTGTTTTCCACTTTTCCCCGAGGCCCGGGCAAGTGCTGAGAGCGGTGTAGAAAGATATGTGAATATGGAGGGAAGTAGTCCCCGGGAAATTGGAGACATTCTTCATGCATTCATGCCTTTGATGTGTGAAAGCCCCTTGGTTGTTCATCTGCGAAACCACAGCTTAGCTTGTGTCTGCTTTATTTGGCAAGGATACATTCACCCATCCACCCTGTATACCCCCAATATCAGCATGTTTAATATTATCTTGTTAGATGAAATTTCGTTACTATTCTCCAATAAAAAAAAGAATATGGTACATTTTGCTTTGTTTTATGTTTTCATGTTGTTGACCTCGCATAAAAATGAAGGAATAAAAATTCCCGTAAGTGGGTTGCTGATCAAATCAACGGTTTATGGCCAAAAAGAGATTTTACGATTACCTGACTGGTTTTTGGATTTTCCAGTCTGATGACTCCGATCATCTAGTCCGGTTGGATTTTGAAAACATGGTTCAAACTTTAAACCATGCCAAACCTTGACTGTGATGCTGATGTTGAAAAGGAGACAACACATTGATTGTAAGAAAGTAAAAGAAAGCAGAGCACATGGATGAGGCGTTTATTTGTTAGCTCTGTTCATTTTTTATTTGCTTCTCTTTGAAATCATAATTTTAACCAAGGACTAAAATTTTGCAACCGCCGATAGCTGTCGTATCGGTGACCCTCCGGTATGCCTTTACAGAATTACGGTGAGTGTTTAGGACGTGTTCTGTTGCATAGATGGTCAAATGCAATGTCTGAATTGAGTTAAATGTTGGGTCTTGCTTACCTTCATTGTCATCTGTTGCATAGATGGTCATATTTGAATTTTTGTCAGCTTTTCTGTACTTCTTGTCATTTAATGCGTTTTATCATGTACACTTTGGTTATGTATGAATATTTGAAAATTTCAACTGATAATATATCAAAAGTAGCTTAATTCAAATACAAATTTGTTGAATGCAAAACCCTGTATTTGATATATATATTTGTACTCCTTGCAAACTATGCCTTAGTTGTTTTGCAGATCAGGGTTTGAAGAGAATACATTTGTTTGGTAAGTTTCTGTTACTTCTACTAGGTTTGTTGTATTTTCTATTTTTGTGTTTTGTTAGATTGGACTTCGAATACATTTGTCTATTAAGCTTCAATAGGTCTTTATATTGGATCGAATTAGGCAATATTGGACTATCCAAATTGACAGTTTCAACCAGTTTTTTCTATTTGTCCCAATTTGTTCACTTCAATTATATGTAAAATAACATTTTTTTCTAGGTGTACTATAATTCTCTTGGTTATATTGAGATAAAGTTGTCAGGTTTATAATTGGATGAATTATTCTTGGATATCCAACAGTTTTCAGTTATACATTTGATCATCTATAGAAACCTCTTTTTCTTGTCAAAGAAAAGATATATATATATATATATATATATATATATATATATATATATATACACACACTTCTTTTAATTTGCTGAATTAATTATTCTTTGTGAATTGTGAAACCCATTTTATTTTATTATGCTCCTTACATTGCCAATTTCCTTTATCTGGATGCACTTAATTCATTTGGTGTGAACATGGCCCTTCTAAAAGATCTTGAAACTCTCATTGCAGCTTGGAGGTGTAAGGCTTTTAGTAAGAGAGGACTGATTCTTTGAAAGTTGATTCCTATAGTCATTTGCTGGACCTTGAGTACTGAACGGAATGAGACTTATGAGAGGGTGTTCAATAATAGGATTTCCTCCCCATAAGCAATCATAGGAAACACCAAGAGATCTTTCTTTCAATGGGCAAGTATACACAAGTTCTATGGCTTGAATTTCTCCTTTATAGGAGTCATATGCTTAGCTCGAGCTACTTTGAGATGACTCTTATTAGCTAATTTTGGTCTATTGCTATTTCCTGTTTTATGTTGGCTATGTGAAACATAATTTCTTGGTTGTGTTATTTCCTGTTTTTACTGTTTTATGTTGGCTATTGATGATTTCCCTTTATTTGTTTTCCCTGCATCAAGTTTGATATTGATAATAATCCTATCTCAATGAGGCCCTTTGAATGAATGCACGTGTCACTTTAAATCAATTATCATTAGAAATGAATTACATATTATATACATTTTTTCTTTTATATATATATTATGTAGAAAGAGAGAGAGAGAGTTTCAGCAATTTAAGTATACATTTGATCATCTATAGAAACATTGTAAAATATATTTATAAATTCAAATTTTTATCTTTTTAGCAAAAATATGCCACACATTTTGATTAGTTATAGATAGATAAGATATCAATTTAGAGTCTTCTAGCTTGTGCTTAGCATGGGCCCCTCTCTGCTAGTGACCCACTAAAGTAGTACCTCTAGCCTTTCTTTCATTGTTTGAGAATTTGATTCTAGAGGATATATAGAAACAAAATATGCATATTGATATCAAACACCTATCTCAAAACTAGGGGTGATTATGGGTCAATTTGGTTTGGTTTCATGGCAGAATTTGGAACCTACCTTGTAGGGGTTGGTTCTAGGTTTTTGGAACCGAAACATACCCTATGAAGGTCAGTTCTAGGGTCAGTTTTGGCCTTAGTGGTTTCGGGTTATCTTTCTTTACTCCTCCCCTCAAAACAAAAATGAAGCATGTTCTTTAAAAACTTGATTTTCAAGAAATATAATATATTGTTTAAAGCTTATATTGTCTTTATTGATTACATTGAGTAACTTAATATGTAGATTATCATTATATGATTCAAAACTTATAATTTAAATTTAAATATTACAATTTACATTATTTATTGTACACACCGAAATATTAAAATGTAAACAAATGATCAAATAACATAAGTAACTTAATGGTCAAGTGAGACCATGGCTCCGTCACTACTTGGGATTTGCAACAACAAGGTATAGGTAGAACCACTAATCTGGGTAGGAAGAGGTGGCAAAGAATTGGTCATCTATTAGTATGGCGTGATGTTAAGAGATTGGTCGATGAGCAATAGTTAGAAGCATGGATTAAAATATCAACACGATACGCCTGATACGAGGCGTATTGTATCAGTATCGGTAGGGGAAGTTACAGGACACGCCACGATTGACACTGTATCGTGTAAGTCGTGCGTATTGATCTGATACACCACTGCATCGGCGCGTATCGCATGGCCGATACGCACCGATATAGAGGCGTATCGAACCCGCATATCGCACAGAAAATTGCTTCATAGTCTTCACTAGAAAAAAATGTTTTAGCATGATTCGATCCCTGAAACATGAGTTGCACAATGTCTAAGACCACAAGGCTCTTAACCATCAACCAATCTTCCATTTCATGATGATAAAATGAAATGAATTATTTTTTATTAATTATTACATTTAATCTATTCAAAAATAAAAATTAACAAGAATAATATTCAAAATTATTATTTTATAACCTATAAAATAAATAATTTATCAAATCCACATATATATAAATGATTTATAATTTCAATATATTTATACAAATAAAAATATTATTAATAGCATAATTATTTTATTACTTAGAATTATTTAAGTAGACTTGATAAATTATAATAATTATTTTATAAATTATTAATTAATATTTCAATTTGCATTAAATAACAATGTAATTATTATTACAAAGTTAAAATATTGTTTACAAAATACTCGAGAATATAATATAAATTGAATCTATCAATCCACTATCTAAATTTAAATAAAAATTATTATTTTTATTTTAAAAAATTCATAAAAATAAAAATATTAGTAATGAATAATTATTTTAGTAATTAAAATTTATGAATTTTCATATGATATGCATCTTCAAATTGTCATTTACATTTTATATAAACATATTTATTGTTTACAAAAGTGAAAGTATTATTTACTTAACATTTTCAAATTAATTTTAGTTGATTTTTTGTTGATGTTAAAAATTGAAATAGTAAAATAAAAATAATTGATATAATAATTTAAATATAATGGTTGCATATTTTTTGTGCCTTGGATTTTAATAAAAAAATGATGCATTATCAATAAAATTGTATAATATCTATACATCATGTTATATCAATAATAATATATTTCTTTAGACATACCTTTTAAATATACAATTCCTATGCATTTATACGTTATTTATAGTTATTTTGACATTAAACTTGAAGTTATTAATATAATTATTTAATTTATATGCATTTCTTTAGAGTATCCAAGCATTTTTATATTTTTATTCGTATCCATGCGTTTTCCAAGCATATCCGTATCCAAGTTATCCGATACGATACCCAATACCGATACCTTAATCCTTGGTTAGAAACATACCTTCCTTGGTGCTTATTGCCCCCAACGACATCTTAAGCAACAAGAGTTACAAGGTTATAGAAAAGATGCCTCAAATATGTGTAGCCTATGCCAAAGTGAATATTGCAATATTGTTTTTTTTTAATATGTTGGAAACAACAAATATATTAAAATCTAGGAAGAAATGCCGTTTTTGGTCGTTAATTAATGTGAAGACATATATATTAATGTCCAGAGAACATCTATTTCATGAACTTTGATTAATCAATCCGTCATTGTTGAGAGTGGAAAAGTCAAAGATGGAACCAATGAATGAGGAAGAATGGAGGAATATTAAACAAGCCAAGAGTAATGGAGTAGTCAGAAGGAAGACAAATTGAATTTTGTATGACCTTTTTAAGAGCCTATCTTGTCATTCCATGCCTATAGTCACAAGTGGGTGGTTCTCTAATCTATCTATATACTTAAAGCATTGGGAGGGTGTACCATAGCATTGAGAAGTTGACACTTATATGTTTTTTGTTCTTTAAATTATTGACATGTGTCTCTCTTCTGTCTTTTCTTTGTTCTCTCTTTTCTCTTACCTTTATTTGTTTGGAAAATTACAAGAATGCCATATATAAGATAAACCTTTCTATATAATTGCCTCTATAATATTCAAAAACTACAACAATGCCACATATAAAACAAATCTCCTTATATAATTGACTCAATGGCATTCAAAAAGTACAGTAGTGCCACATACAATTATGACATCCTATAAATAAAATGTCATTCCTCTTCTTTCTCAACACACACATACACACACACACACACTCTCTCTCTCTCTCTAATTCTCTATCTTAACTTTTATTTATTTTATTATTATTATCTAAACATTTATTTATTTGATTTACTAAACTAATTATTTATTTAGAAATAATTTACTAACAAATTATTCTCTCCCCCTAAGCCCAATATTTAGTGTTGTCAACGGGTAGGGTCTGG